GAATGGTAAGAAAGTATTGTCACACCTGCTCGAGACATTTCATGTGATTTTTCTTTATGTGATTAATAATTGGTCCCCGTACCATGAAAGTTAAAGAAAACACAATTGTTTTGCTGTTTTTCACAGATTGCTAGATCTGCGAAGGCTCGCCTCAAAACACTGCAAGAACCAGAAGCGACAAGCATTATTTATCCTTCCACAGGCATTCAGGTGGTAAGAATTTCAACTGCAGGGTATACTTGGGTGTGCTTGTGTAAGCTCTTATGTTGTGTACTATTGAATATTTGCAGGCACAAACCGTACAAGCTGAAAACTCACAAGATATCCAGATCAACCCCTCTACAAGCAGTCAATCGGAGGAGGTGAGATGCTGTGTAATCTTTCATAGTTTGAGTGCAATGGATGGTCGTGACTAATTCCTTGTCAATTAATAACTTGTTATTGATATTCCTGATTAGGACATTACTAGTAGTAGTACGACTGAAATCCAAAGCAACGCTTACCAAAGAAAATCCTGTGATCAGAGGTTCATATCCTTTGGTAAACACTGGGGTGAATGATGCAAGATTAGTATAGCAGAAAAAAAGATGAGTGATTGATGTCTGATGTGAAACTTTAAAAAATTATTATCATTGGTTTTCACAGGGCCAACATGGGACATGTAATGGTGGCTTTCAAGAGGAATCTGGATTGCAGCCTGAAGCTACATGTAGCGCGAACATGGTACATTCCTTACTGCAAAGAAATATTTATTTACGGTCATGTAACTTTCCATTTCATTATGCTACCAGATCATATTAGTAAAAAGTGATGGAAGTGACCAATTTGGTTTTTTTTTTTTGTAGATACACAAGACTTTTGTTATGTCCAAGATGCAGAAGAGAGTGAACCTTTTACACAAGTGGTATGTATCCTGTTTTGTAATTATAAACATAATGATAATAATGATTAGATGTTGATGATGACGGTAGTAATAATGATAATAATAATGATAATAATAATAATAATTATAATAATAATAATAATAATAAGTGTTCATTTCTTTCTTACAGGATGATATTCTTGGTATTTATTTTGAAAGATAAACCATAGTTTTTTTAATTTTATAATAAAGGATAAATCAACACAGACACTGGCAGATCAGAGATGTAGTATCCTCAGCCATGAAATGGAAGTTTTAAAAGGCCAGCTTAGTGTAGTGCGACAATCCCTGAAGACATCAAAAGACAAAAAAAGGCAGCTAAAGCGTAAAGGTAAGCTTCATCCATGTGATGCCCTATTTACATGTATGTGTTATTTGTATGATCACATAATCTTAGAGATTTAATTTTGAGGTTTTTGTTCCTCAAACCTCTTTTTTGCTGAGGGAATTTTATTCTTGTAATATTATTGACATCCACACTTTTTTTATTAGTTGAGTTGTTGACTCGAAAACTTCAGGAGGCTGCAAACAACGGGTTAGAAGAAAATGTAAAGAGTAAGGAGTCTTGTGACACTAGCAACCAAGATACATGTATCGGTGAAGAAAAAGATATTGAAGAAGAGGATGACACTGAAATGAAAGAGGAAGAACCTGACTTTTCCAGTGATGCAGAGTTCTTTAGTGAAAGCGGAGGGGATACAGAAACAGAGGATGAAGAGAAGGAAACAAATGACAGGAGGTAAAAATAATAAGAATTTGTAAAGATTATAACTAAACCTTACTTAACTAAACCTTGTATAGTCTCAAAAAAATTTTTTGCGGCCCTTCAGCCCTCAGTTTTGTCTAAAAACAGGAGGCTACAGGCCCCTCCACTGGATCCCTGACTGAAATAGTAAGATCAGGGACTCACTGAGATTACAGTACCCTGTTTGACAATTTTACTCCTACAAAAATAGAATATGGTTCTTGCTGTAAAAGGTATTGAAGGCCACTGAAGTTTTGTTCCTGTATTGTACATTGTGTGCATTTCTTTGTCTTTATTGCAGTATTCCACTATCAAGTAACAATGACATAAGGACAGAACCGAAACACATAGTGTTCCTATCCAAGCTCCTCCTGCTCTTCCAGTTTTGCCATTTCTGCCGCACTTGAAACAAGCCAGATGTGACAGCAACTCAGTCTGGAACCGCAGTCACCATCAGGACAACATGCAGCAACCCTGGTTGCAGGAAGGAATTTACCTGGACCAGTCAACCTTTACTGCCAGGGACCAAGCTACCTGCTGGGAATTTCCTCATCTGCATGGCTACACTATTTGCTGGTGGGTCCTTCACAAAGATGAACCCCATATTCCAGCATATGGGACTGGCCTGTGTGTCATTAAATACTTTCTTCAAGTACCAACCGGTAACCTGTTTTCCTGTACAAAATGTTATTCAATAAGCATTTGTAAAGCATTTGTAAATTTGCTGTTAGTTATGCAACATCAATTTATTTCTTCGAGAATGAATTTTTTTTCAGTTTTGGTATTACATCTATACTGAGATGCTTTTTTTTTATTTTTCCTACTTTTCCTAGTATACAATATCATTATAGATACCTTTCTAAACCTGTTTTCAACTCAAATTTTAGACTTGGTTGTTCCCCACTGTACATCTCTTTTGGAAGCGCTACCAAGCAAACTTGTTCTCTCAGCCAAGGTTCTGGGGGATCTTACAATAGCAGGAGATGGAAGGCACGATAGCATGGGCCACTGTGCTAAATACGGTGCCTACACCATCTTCTGTTGCACATTGCCACGGATCATCCATTTTGCACTTGTACAGGTATAATCATTTAGTTGCTGGTACATTTTTAGCCATATAGTATGTACAACCCCATGTCAGCTGTACTAATGCAACTGAAGGCTGGTGTAAATTTCTTGTTTTTAATTGTTTCTTGTTTTTTGTTAGTTTTAACAATCAGATGTATCTGAGATATGAGTTACTACTTTCAAGTCACTAGTCAATGTTTGCAAGCCAGTTGCTATGCTAGTACCTGCTCAGGGTTTCAACTCATGTGTCGTATTAAATTTCTGGCAGAGAAATCAAGCCGGAAGCAGCCCAGCCATGGAGTTAATGGGATTCCAGAAGTGCATTGATTTTCTGCTTGGATGTGGCCTTGTCATCACTGCGTTTATTTCAGACTGGCACACCCAGATTGCAAGTCACATGAAGAATGTTTTGACACATATCAAACATTACTTTGACCTCTGGCATCTAAAAAAGAGTCATGATGACTTTCTTCTCTAGTTGTTTATGTTCAACATTTTTCAGCACAAATCTAAAGTACTTTTTTCAAAACTCCTGTTATAGGGGTATGACTTTCCTCGAGCAGTAACACTGTACGAAAACATTATTTGCCACCATCTTGTATCTACACATCATATAAACGCAATGTTATAAATAACTATGACTTAGCTTAAGCACTTTAATGTTCAAAAGATACTTAACTTAACAGTATAATCTTGGATATGAATTAGACTGCTATCATTTATCAACATTAAAGGTGAAACTGATTTTACTGTTTCTCTGTTCCTGAAGAGATCACTAAATTGCTGTCCAAAATTTCCAAGGAGAAAGGGAATGAGGATCTCCGGCCTTGGATAAAGCCCTGTGAAAGACACCTGTACTGGAGTGCTACTACTACGTCTGATGGAAATGGGAAGATCATATGGGCCAAATTCAAGTCTTTTCTGAGCCACATTGTGAATAGACACACCGACTTGGATGAGCCTCTCTTCAACAAGTGCGCACGTGGAGATATTCCTGATCGGACATGGATTAATCCTGGTATAGTTGATAGATTTTTTTTTTTGTTACATGGCTCCAAAAGGCCTGCCTTTCCATCATTGTATTCAACTTAAAATTTCTGAGACATTGCAGAGATCTCCAAACGGTCTCCTTAAACATGTAAATCTAGGTGCAGAAGAGGGCAAAGTAAACTTCTCACACTTTAATTTACAATTTTATTTTTAGAGGACATAGTGTATGAGAAGACGAAAAAGGCCTTGACTGCTGACAGCCTAAAAAAAGGAATCATGCAAGCATCCCCAAGTGCTCAGACTGACTGTCTTGAAGGGTTTCACTCTGTTCTCAACTTTTTTGCACCAAAGATAATTGCTTATTCCTATCTTGGAATGTACTGCAGGTAGGCTGAACTAATGTGTACAGTGCAATAATCACTATTGCTATCAGTATTCTCTTAATCATTAGGTCAATAATGCAATTTAGATCTGTTGGTTTTGAGTACAAGTTTGGCTAATAAGATCGATAGGATTTAATAATAGACACTTAATGATTGGTCCAAGGGAAAAATCCCAGCTAATTATTATTCTTGTCTCATTGAGAAGTTGTTTCCACAGCTGAGATAATACTATGCAGAATATATTATTATACCCTAACCTTTTCTATTTTATCTCTTCTAGGCATATACTAGCTGCTCTGCACTTTAACTATAATTTACACAGAGAAGGGAAAGTGAACAAAGATGGAAGTGTCCCTTTGAAAGTGACCTACCCAAAGTTTAAAAGTGGAGAGGCTACTGTGAGAAATCTAAAGATCAAGCCCATTTTTGGTATTTATTTACTATCATTTGTAGAGTAAAATTGTAATGTTAGATAGATTTGATATTTAATTTATTGCTATTGAAGTTTTTTAGTAATTTTTTAATATACACTCTGGAAACATGTGTTTTTGTCTTATTTACTGTCTAGACTATGTGGGAGAACTCTTCCAGTTTTTTATGACATTGAGCAAACAACAGCTGCAGGATGCATGCATTGAGTTGAAGAACATGGTTCCAGATCCAGTGAATACCATGCTTGAGAAACAACCCAGGGAAGAGGCCATTAGGAAGCGGACAGAGAGGATGAGAATGGTTGCAAAGGATGTACCTCCGACGGCACCAGGTTTGTTTACTGTTAATTTTCCAGGCTTCACTATTCCGAGCTGAGGTGAGATGTCTCACCAAAACTAATAACAATCTATGTGCCTTGTAACATGTCTAAACTAGTATCCTAGTGGTTCTTAGTCAAATGATGGAGGCATTTTAGGGATGACAGGAACTCGTGAAATAATAATGACTTCTGAATTATGACACCACCTTCATTTCTTTATTGCAGCACGAGATCCGACATCAAGTGAAAGAAGACAACAGCCTTCTAGGGCACTGCCACGATGTTCTATCTGCAAGAACCCTATGAGGGGCCATAATTCTATCCCTGATTGTCCAAGAAATAGGAAGGATTGACTTGCAATGTAAAAAAAAACAATAAAAACCTATTAGTGTCTACAACATGAAATTTTGAGACTTAAGAAAAATCTAGAAGCCTTTTTACATTTCCCATATATTGGTGCTTTTACTTAGGTTTTAATGACATTTTGCACATTAATATAAGATAAATGAGTTGGAATGTTTGTATTCCATTCTAGTTAATAATATTGTTTCAAAATTATGTCACTAATTATTTCTTTGCGATGAAAATAGTGCATTTCAAAACAGTGACTGAATATTGTGTCTAAAACAACTAGAAGTTGACTCAATAATATTTTGCTATATTAATATTCATACCTGAATAAAACAAATTAATATAATATTTGAATCATTTATACCTAACCTCACGGTGATTTCTTTTGTTTAATTTACCCACACAGCCAGGTATGAATTATTGCTAAGGCATGTCGACAAAATTATAAAAAAATGGTTTCTTTTGGAGAAAGGTCATTTTATCACATTGATGTCAAATTTGCTCTGTATAATTGTTTACAACAATTTCTTTCTTGTTTATTGTCCCTCAAGCAGCCAAGTATAAGTTATATAGGAGGTAGAACCCTGGTAACTGGAACTCTAAAGGGAAAAGGAAGCCGGGTTTCGAGTTATCGGGGTCCGTTGGGTAAATTTTGATCAAGGACAACAAAGTTTAGTGTAAAGTTTATCCGAGTTTGAGTTACCGGGGTTCTACTATATATTTATTACAAAAAGCACAAAATGGTTTAATAAAATTTCAAAAGGAGAGAAGTTCACTATTAATCACAGTCACAAGAAATTGGTAGTGTTATTTTTATATAAAAAAGTTTTTTTTTTTGTTTCAAAAGGAAGTAAGGATCTGGTCTTCTATTCTTCGTCTAACTGAAATCCTGTCACTGGCTCATCCTCTTTGCTGGGGAATGCTTTCCGGATTGCAGTGTCGGCACAGGCAGGAAGAGGGATCCTTCTTTTTCCCAAGTATCCATGAACAAGTCGGGTAAATTCCCTGTATGCAATCGATCTGAGATATCTAAAAAAGACAAATTTTTTTTTATTTTTCCTACTTTTCCTAGTATACAATATCATTATAGATACCTTTCTAAACCTGTTTTCAACTCAAATTTTAGACTTGGTTGTTCCCCACTGTACATCTCTTTTGGAAGCGCTACCAAGCAAACTTGTTCTCTCAGCCAAGGTTCTGGGGGATCTTACAATAGCAGGAGATGGAAGGCACGATAGCATGGGCCACTGTGCTAAATACGGTGCCTACACCATCTTCTGTTGCACATTGCCACGGATCATCCATTTTGCACTTGTACAGGTATAATCAGTTGCTTGCTGGTACATTTTTAGCCATATAGTATGTACAACCCCATGTCAGCTGTACTAATGCAACTGAAGGCTGGTGTAAATTTCTTGTTTTTAATCGTTTCTTGTTTTTTGTTAGTTTTAACAATCAGATGTATCTGAGATATGAGTTACTACTTTCAAGTCACTAGTCAATGTTTGCAAGCCAGTTGCTATGCTAGTACCTGCTCAGGGTTTCAACTCATGTGTCGTATTAAATTTCTGGCAGAGAAATCAAGCCGGAAGCAGCCCAGCCATGGAGTTAATGGGATTCCAGAAGTGCATTGATTTTCTGCTTGGATGTGGCCTTGTCATCACTGCGTTTATTTCAGACTGGCACACCCAGATTGCAAGTCACATGAAGAATGTTTTGACACATATCAAACATTACTTTGACCTCTGGCATCTAAAAAAGAGTCATGACGACTTTCTTCTCTAGTTGTTTATGTTCAACATTTTTCAGCACAAATCTAAAGTACTTTTTTCAAAACTCCTGTTATAGGAGTATGACTTTCCTCGAGCAGTAACACTGTACGAAAACATTATTTGCCACCATCTTGTATCTACACATCATATAAACGCAATGTTATAAATAACTATGACTTAGCTTAAGCACTTTAATGTTCAAAAGATACTTAACTTAACAGTATAATCTTGGATATGAATTAGACTGCTATCATTTATCAACATTAAAGGTGAAACTGATTTTACTGTTTCTCTGTTCCTGAAGAGATCACTAAATTGCTGTCCAAAATTTCCAAGGAGAAAGGGAATGAGGATCTCCGGCCTTGGATAAAGCCCTGTGAAAGACACCTGTACTGGAGTGCTACTACTACGTCTGATGGAAATGGGAAGATCATATGGGCCAAATTCAAGTCTTTTCTGAGCCACATTGTGAATAGACACACCGACTTGGATGAGCCTCTCTTCAACAAGTGCGCACGTGGAGATATTCCTGATCGGACATGGATTAATCCTGGTATAGTTGATAGATTTTTTTTTTTGTTACATGGCTCCAAAAGGCCTGCCTTTCCATCATTGTATTCAACTTAAAATTTCTGAGACATTGCAGAGATCTCCAAACGGTCTCCTTAAACATGTAAATCTAGGTGCAGAAGAGGGCAAAGTAAACTTCTCACACTTTAATTTACAATTTTATTTTTAGAGGACATAGTGTATGAGAAGACGAAAAAGGCCTTGACTGCTGACAGCCTAAAAAAAGGAATCATGCAAGCATCCCCAAGTGCTCAGACTGACTGTCTTGAAGGGTTTCACTCTGTTCTCAACTTTTTTGCACCAAAGATAATTGCTTATTCCTATCTTGGAATGTACTGCAGGTAGGCTGAACTAATGTGTTCAGTGCAATAATCACTATTGCTATCAGTATTCTCTTAATCATTAGGTCAATAATGCAATTTAGATCTGTTGGTTTTGAGTACAAGTTTGGCTAATAAGATCGATAGGATTTAATAATAGACACTTGATGATTGGTCCAAGGGAAAAATCCCAGCTAATTATTATTCTTGTCTCATTGAGAAGTTGTTTCCACAGCTGAGATAATACTATGCAGAATATATTATTATACCCTAACCTTTTCTATTTTATCTCTTCTAGGCATATACTAGCTGCTCTGCACTTTAACTATAATTTACACAGAGAAGGGAAAGTGAACAAAGATGGAAGTGTCCCTTTGAAAGTGACCTACCCAAAGTTTAAAAATGGAGAGGCTACTGTGAGAAATCTAAAGATCAAGCCCATTTTTGGTATTTATTTACTATCATTTGTAGAGTAAAATTGTAATGTTAGATAGATTTGATATTTAATTTATTGCTATTGAAGTTTTTTAGTAATTTTTTAATATACACTCTGGAAACATGTGTTTTTGTCTTATTTACTGTCTAGACTATGTGGGAGAACTCTTCCAGTTTTTTATGACATTGAGCAAACAACAGCTGCAGGATGCATGCATTGAGTTGAAGAACATGGTTCCAGATCCAATGAATACCATGCTTGAGAAACAACCCAGGGAAGAGGCCATTAGGAAGCGGACAGAGAGGATGAGAATGGTTGCAAAGGATGTACCTCCGACGGCACCAGGTTTGTTTACTGTTAATTTTCCAGGCTTCACTATTCCGAGCTGAGGTGAGATGTCTCACCAAAACTAATAACAATCTATGTGCCTTGTAACATGTCTAAACTAGTATCCTAGTGGTTCTTAGTCAAATGATGGAGGCATTTTAGGGATGACAGGAACTCGTGAAATAATAATGACTTCTGAATTATGACACCACCTTCATTTCTTTATTGCAGCACGAGATCCGACATCAAGTGAAAGAAGACAACAGCCTTCTAGGGCACTGCCACGATGTTCTATCTGCAAGAACCCTATGAGGGGCCATAATTCTATCCCTGATTGTCCAAGAAATAGGAAGGATTGACTTGCAATGTAAAAAAAAACAATAAAAACCTATTAGTGTCTACAACATGAAATTTTGAGACTTAAGAAAAATCTAGAAGCCTTTTTACATTTCCCATATATTGGTGCCTTTACTTAGGTTTTAATGACGTTTTGCACATTAATATAAGATAAATGAGTTGGAATGTTTGTATTCCATTCTAGTTAATAATATTGTTTCAAAATTATGTCACTAATTATTTCTTTGCGATGAAAATAGTGCATTTCAAAACAGTGACTGAATATTGTGTCTAAAACAACTAGAAGTTGACTCAATAATATTTTGCTATATTAATATTCATACCTGAATAAAACAAATTAATATAATATTTGAATCATTTATACCTAACCTCACGGTGATTTCTTTTGTTTAATTTACCCACACAGCCAGGTATGAATTATTGCTAAGGCATGTCGACAAAATTATAAAAAAATGGTTTCTTTTGGAGAAAGGTCATTTTATCACATTGATGTCAAATTTGCTCTGTATAATTGTTTACAACAATTTTTTTCTTGTTTATTGTCCCTCAAGCAGCCAAGTATAAGTTATATAGGAGGTAGAACCCTGGTAACTGGAACTCTAAAGGGAAAAGGAAGCCGGGTTTCGAGTTATCGGGGTCCGTTGGGTAAATTTTGATCAAGGACAACAAAGTTTAGTGTAAAGTTTATCCGAGTTTGAGTTACCGGGGTTCTACTATATATTTATTACAAAAAGCACAAAATGGTTTAATAAAATTTCAAAAGGAGAGAAGTTCACTATTAATCACAGTCACAAGAAATTGGTAGTGTTATTTTTATATAAAAAAGTTTTTTTTTTTGTTTCAAAAGGAAGTAAGGATCTGGTCTTCTATTCTTCGTCTAACTGAAATCCTGTCACTGGCTCATCCTCTTTGCTGGGGAATGCTTTCCGAATCGCAGTGTCGGCACAGGCAGGAAGAGGGATCCTTCTTTTTCCCAAGTATCCATGAACAAGTCGGGTAAATTCCCTGTATGCAATCGATCTGAGATATCTAAAAAAGACAATAAAATAATAACCCAATATGAATTATAGTTTACAAAGAACCAAATCAAGAGTTCTAGACTGGCAGGATCCCTTTCTAATTCATGAGAGAGAAAGAAGATGAATAATCTTTATTATTGGTGGTATTTTTCAGAAATCTCTTGTGTATAGGGGTATGTTATCCTCAAACCAAAACAGGAACAAGTTGTTCTATTGGCAAATGTGAATAATACTTTCCAAACTTTGAAACTTGAACAAAACAGCCTGTTCCTGTTTTATTATTGATATTGAACAAATTGCAAAATACTTCATAAATATACAATCAAGTTAAAATTATTTTTGAGAAATCAGTTTCACCTTTCTTCTGATCCAGTCTTCTTGTAGTATTCTCTTTGTTTTGTTCGATATTTCCCACCTGCCAACCGCAGACTCCATTTTTCTAGGCAGACTGGCCTGAAACCGGGATGTTCTGTTACACAGCATAACTCTTGGCCCTCCTCAAGATCTTCCAGGACAATTTCACTTGTCAGGGACTCGACACATCCTTCAAGTTCTTTACAACAATAACATTCGCTTATATTCGTAAGCAAATCGCCCTCACATTTTCCACAAGTACACCTACGTTTGAAACAAAACGTGCAGAAAGTTACACGAAATGCTGATTATTTCCACAGTACAATGTAATCGACTTAGACATACAAACATGCAAGGCAACTGCAAGTGCTTGTATGTAAGATCAACTTACCAGTCAGCAACACGCACGCTGTTATTAAGACGCTTCGTCAGCTCTTTCTCCAATTCTGCGTTTTCCGCCTGCTCTCGCCTGTAGTTTTCGAGCCATTCTTCGTCCGCCAAAGGCTCGTCCGCGTATGGTTCAAGCGAATCATCTTCAAATCGATTGCTCACTCCATCTGTTCCTTCTATCTCGATTTTTTCGTCCTCACTGCCAAATTGTGAGCTTTCTGTTTCAGAAGGACTGTCTTCTAGCGACGACATTTCGGTGAAGATTTCAATGTTTGCCTTTCGTTTGTGTACGATCCGACAAGTGAGGTTCCTGAAGCTATGTCACATGACATCACATATGAGCCGGTCAGTTGTCATGGTCAGCTGAACGGGCGCGCCACTGAAATGTAGACTTCAAAAAATCGTAGAAAAATCGCGTTTTGTTCAAATCGCAAAATTTTTTCGCAGAAGTTCCTGTCTTAATATGTACTTTCAGATAAAAAAATAAAATTTGTTAGGTTATGGGCACTTTAAAGAGTAGTCGGCCAAGAACTTCACACACTGTTATTTGGGCCTCTCGAATAGTTGCTGCACCATATTACAACCCTTAACATGGCAGTATTAGAGTACCTGATCTGTCTATCCTCAGAGGGCCCACCTATGGTCGATGTTTAACCGGCTGCTGCAGTTGTCCGTTGGTTTGATTGGGACTCATTAAAAGGAGAATGCTCAAAGAGACCTCACTTTTCAGTGAAAAAGTACTCAATTTTACTTTACAAATCATTATGTTACTGAACTCAAAACACTTTCTTTCGGATTAACTAAAATGTTCTTTTTGTACAAATAGGCTCACATGTTTTGGGTATTGTTTGACATGCCAGTTTCACCAGATGGTGAATACGACATTCATGCCGATACCCTAAATTGCAGTTGATCACATTTAATACTTGTTGCACGGTTTTTTACATGTTAATACAGCGTATGTAATCACTTTTTAGAGTAAAGTTCACACTGCAGCGGCACCGCATTTTGAAGTCAAAGGGCATTCTCTTTTCCAGCTGGGAACTTGAACAACAAGTACTGAATGTTTCACTTTAAACGGCAAATTTAAAAGCTTGCAGTTAGGTTTTTCTTCTAATGTTTCCTTTATAAATACTCCATTTCATAGCGTTGTAAATGCTGTTATCCACAGGTATTAATTTTTACATACGGATAAAGTCTAGGTATTACTTAGTTCTCCAAAGCTGTGCTTGAGATATTTTCAGCCCAGGCTTCTAACGATATGGAACAAAGACAAACATGGCGCTGCAAGAGCGCTAAGGAAAAGCTGGTGTAGGATATCGTGACTTTGAAAGGTACAAACTTTGCACAACATATCATCATTCCATAAATAATAATTAGTTTTCTAGGCCCCAAATTTTCCAAGAAAGTCTAAGTCCATAATGTTGCACAACGCAAGACTTTGCGGGTATTAGCAAAATAAGCCTATAAGATCAGTTGCAGGTGATTGCGTTGTGTCCCTTGGTAAAGCATCATGTAATTTTAAAATGTTATGATTCTGTAACTGCCGAATTATATTCTTATCTTTCTTCAACTTTTTTTTACAAAAGTTAGTAGTTTGGATTGTACAATGTTATTAAGCTCCTGAACACATTTGTGAATGTTTTATTTTAGAGACAGTGCATTTGATACTGAATATTTCACATTATGTTCCTGTTGAACTGTGAAGAGCGATTCAGAAGATTTCATTTGTTTATTCAGCGAGTAAATGTTTACCCTCCTTTCAATGGTAATTCACCGAAGCTGTCGAAGTAATAAAATTAAATGATGTTAACTTGTCAATAACTGTCTAATAAGTTGTATTATATTTTGCTGGGGTTAGCTGCTTTTGCGACCAAAACTTTCAAACTTGCGACAAAGATTTTAAGAATAACTGGTCCTTGTAAATTGCCACAAAAAATTTACTTACATTTTTGTTTTAGTTATTTCTCTTTAAAACTGCCAGAAACATAATTATATTGTAAATCTAGCTATATTCGACTAAAATTGAATGAAGCCTGTGTAGCTGGCGGTATTGGTATTGTCTTGGTGCACAATTTAAGTTTTGTGGCAGAACCATGACTCAAAAAAGGAAGTGGGGACGAGGAGTTTGAAATACCGCCTTCCAGAAAACCCCAGTATTTTGAATAGTCCGCACACCAAGGTGGGAAGAAAACAGACTGGTTGAGGGCCATATGTCAATCATGTTAGATGATCCTTGGCATATTCCCAAGGGAGCAGATGGCGAACTCTTGGGGAAAATAATGGCAGACTCAGCTGCATTAAGTACAGATAAAGCTCTAGAACGTCTTTATGTGAGCAGAGAGAAGCAGAAAATTATTCTTAAGAGGGAGCAGGAAACAGCTATGAAGAAGCTGCTTGCTGGACACGATGTTATGGTAATTTTGCCAACAGGGTTCGGCAAAAGCTTAATATTCACCAGAAAAGACGTGTGTGATTGTGGTTTCCCCTTTAAAGAGCATAATTGATGACCAAATTGCCAAAATGGCATCTTTAAACTTCACAGCACTGGAATTGTCCGGCGAAAATTTGACACCCATTTTGCGTGATCCGCCACAATTCCTATACTGTACAGCAGAAAAGGCCCTCCAAACACCATTTCTTGGTGAACTGAAGAACAAACAGTATTACATCTATATATAAAGTAGTATCAGCTATTGTGGTAGATGAGTCACATACAGTGGAATCATGGACAAGAAAGAGGTGTGAGGAGAAAGCAACTTGTTGTTATTTCACTTGAGATTGAAATCCTATGATTTAGGTCTCATGCCATCAAAATTTTTGCCACGAATTGTTCTTTGTCACAATCAGGAAAGGAAATCTGGGGCATATGGCAAACTTTCAACACTTTGATCAATGTGAAAAGATGGTGAGTAGGCACACATTGACACATCGTTTTGTTTTGTTTCTATGACTGAACATAAAATGCATCAAAAAGAGATGAGTTTCTCTTTGATTGGCTGATTTAATTGGGAGCAGTTAAGGTGATAAAAGTGGGTGCCATTCAAAAAATGCTGGTTCCCTGACAGGCGGTTTTTCTATTTCTCGCAGCTAATGCTGCTCATGGCGCCTTACACTTCCTGTGACTACATTTTTACATAATTTCTCTCTTAATTTTGCACCATACCACTTCTATTTGTTTGTAATGCGTGTTTGCCTATGCTTCACCTGGAACCCAGTTTTTGTTTTGAGTGGCTGGCATAGTAGAAAAAATGTGTTGACTTGACTGGAAATACTCGCAACCCTCCCAAGAAGCTGTGTTCAAACCTTTCCCCCACACCACATAGAAAGTTAGATTAGTTACACCTAGTTGAACTTCCTTTGAACATCACGCCTTATTGATATGGAAAGATTGGCTTAACTTTATAGCTATCTTTGCAATAACACCAGTTTATTTGGAAACTACACCCCCCCCCCCCCCCCCCACGAGTACAAATTTCCCTCTCCTGTCTGGGGTCCACAGCTAACATTATTCAGCAGCTCAAGTACTATAACCATGCTATACTTAGTGCTTTTGCCCTAAAGTGCACAAATTTTCCTACAAAACTACAAAGAAAATTGCACAACAACCATCCCAGTAGAATGATGTACAACAGCCTGACAAGTGGTATTGTTACCTTCTTATAAAGGTTAAAAAATTAAAATGATGTAATGCACAAGCTGCATAGTGTAATGGTCTATTACAGTTTTTTGTCAATGTGCATTTACTATCTGCAGCCATCGCATTTACATTCATATAATTATGTTTGAATGAGTATTTGTAAGTAACCAGATTATCAGAAAGTCTAAGATCACTCTGCGTGCTAATCTTGGTGACTCATACCAAGAATTTTTGGCAGAACAAAATAAAGGAGAGCAAGAGTGGCATGAGCAAACCAAAGCAAAGAAAACAAGAAATGAGAAAAAGGTGCCCAAGAGTTGCAAAGCTGGTGCGACCGCAGACAATGCTACTGCCATAAAGCTTCAACTAGAGTCCAAAAACCGAGAATGCGCTCTTTTAAGGGAACAGCTGCTGGTACAAGAGAGTATCTGTAGGATACACACATACATACTGCTGAGTTCCCCTTGGGGGCCCTTCCACCACAAATACACAAATGAACAATAAAATAAACTGGAAATCAATCTAGCTCAACAGAATTCTTGAGGAAACTGAAGCCTCTCTTGCCAAACAATTTAACCAGCTACGATTCTCCAGGCATAGTTCTGAACTAGCTGAAGTTTTCTAATGTTCTTCTTGCTCATGCTACACCATACCGTCGAACAATAAAATAATTTGCGGGAGTCAAAGGCATTTATAAGACGGACCAGGGTTTTTTGATCTAAGAGATGCTTTATCCTATCAACTCTCATGAGTTTAAGCAAACAATCAGAGGCAGTTTTAGTGATATGTTCGTTAAAGTTAAGATGATAATCAACATACAATCCCAGGTCCTTTGCAACTGTTACAGGCTTGATTTGAGTTCCCAGCATTGTCGCACTTAGCAAGGGGGTAGGTAAAGTCTTCATGAGTTCTGGGACGCCCACATAAAGGAGCTTTCTTTTCCCAGGTTGATGAGCAGCGAATTTCTACAGCACCAAATCGATATTTCTTTAAGATAAGCATAACAACAATAATGTTATTTGTAAATAACTTAAAAACAGATGATGGAGAAATTCGAGGATGCCCTGTCTGAAGTGGAGAGAAACATAACAGTCCAGTTGGGTAGAATTGAAGACTGGATTCTTTAGACCAAAACGTTATGGTTAGCGGATGTTTTTTTAATTTACTCGTTGAAGTTCGTGGTAATGGAACTACTAGTTTGACAGACTTTTCAGAAGCCTAAACCGTTCAAATACCTCTTTTTTCTCTAACGCTGGTGTGAACAGATTTAAATAAACCTTTTAGGAATTATTTCCTAAACACAGGGTACAAGACCATTAAAGTTAGCACTTTAAATTTATTCTCTACATACGGAATTAATAACTTTTAAATTCTGAATTCCCCTGGTTGCACTCACAGATCAGAAAAATGACACGCTCCTTTTAACTTCTTAATAGATACAGCAACCAGAACCTGAACTGCCGTCAGCCAACAGAAGGATGATCTATATACGATAGATTCTGTTGCTTTGGCCAGTCTGAAAGAAGATATGGACATCTTCCCACTACCTCCAGAAACACCAATGGTTCCGACTCCACATACAGCTACATACAGAAGCTCGAGTTGGTGATGAGCTGATTGGTTACTGCATAACCCCAAGAAAGCTGACAGTTGACAAGAACATTCTGCAGTGTGAACAGCACACATACTCGCTTCAGCTTCTGCCATATATCTTTACCAGAGAGATGAGTAGCAGCAACACAGAGGGTGCACACAAGAAACTGCCCCTAGACACTACAAAAATGAACTCACTAATAGTGTTAGTTTTTAACAGATTTCTAGTCGAGTCTCATGTGGACAAAGGTTATGATTGTTGTGATTCTTTGAGTTTACTGTACTTCTGTTTTTTTAATTATTGATGTAATTAAGCTCTTAAGACCTTAGAATTTGATTTCAAGTTTTTGGTTTTCTTTGTTGGGAGGACAGGATTACTTTACAAAAACGTATGTTCGAAAAAACGAGAGTCAAGTTGAGTTTTGTTTACGTGATCATGCAAAATTATTTTGATTAACCTAAGGCAAAATCTACAAAATTGGCAGCTATTTTACAACTTTGTCTTTGGGTTTCTCTTTCTCTTCTTTGGGTTTAGAAAAATAAATCAAATGCAGTGCACGTTTTTGCAGAACAAGTATCTTATTGAGGTAGGTCTGTGGACAGTTGCCCCATGCACAGACACCATCATTTAAATAAGGAGCAATAAGTGCGTGATATAAATTCAAAACAAGATGCCGTGGAATGTAATGCCTCATTTTAGCAATTATTCCAACCGACCT